ATATCAAAATGAACTAAGCACCAAACAAACACAGTAAATAAGTAAATTAAATAAAGAAACAACAAAAACAAAATTAAATGCCAATTAGACCCAAATAAAAACTGCAAGGCACTCAGCGCCTATAAGAACAAAAAAGAGTTAACACATGTAATAAATATTCCTCCTCTACTTGTAAACTGGCATTACCTAGTATGACTACAAGAGAGCGGCTACGTCATAGCAGGCCGCCTCCTTTACACACGCAGCAGTTTGAGCCAGCGTCTAAAACACAAAAAGGAGAACTGAGAATTCACTAAAAAATGAGGAGCACAAACACACCTACCAGGCCTTCAGCAGTGAGAGGAATACCCGCCCCAGGGACCACGATTGGCGCAAGTGGCACAGGGATGTAGCGTCAGTACGGGTGTCTGCTGTGTGTTTATATATGAGTGCTAATGTAATGGAATGCGGAAGTCTACGTACCGGCTTGGGGGGGAATTCCCTCTACGGCGGCTCATTAGGGACAAACAACCCACCGGTTACATTCACCCCGGGGCTCTTGAATTGGCGGCCCGACAATACCACAATCTTATCGGTAATGTGTGAAGGTGGTTGGACAGCACTGTATCTAGGAGGTTATAGCCCTTGCCCTGCCTCTGCCCCTACATCTAGCTGGCAGATTATATGGATTTGAATGCAGGCCAGCGGTCCTTCGACTGGACCTCCTAAGTGACGGGGGGTCAGAGTTCACTGGGCAACTCTGGTTCTCTTGAACTGGTGGATCCACCTCTGCCTCCACCGGAGTTCCGATGCAAGGTTCCTTTGCGAGCGGTCTGCCTGGAGCGTCGCTGGCTAGCCAGAGGCCCTCCTCCTCAGGTTCGCTGTTGGTGGTTCCAGGGGATGTTCCTCTTCTCGTTTTGGGAGATTGCCACCTAGCAAGCACAGGTTTAAGCATGGTTCTATGGACGTGGCGTACCTCAGTTTGTCTCTCTTGCGGGGCCACAGCATATACCACCCCACCGGGCTCAGGGAGCTTCACTACCAGGAATACTTCTGGGGCCCATGCGTCCTGGATTTTTGATCTTGCTCGTGGGAGTGGTCCTGTAGGTAAACATGCTGTCCAACCGGCAAGATTTCCTCCTGCGCTTGCCTGTCAGCTCTCCCTTTCCGTCGTTCAGCAGCCGCCCGCATGTGCTCCCTAGCACTCTCTGTAACCACCTGCATCCGTCGTTGGTGCTCCCTGATCCACTGGCTGGATTCCCCGGGGATTGGGTCATTGAATTTACCCAACATGAAGTCCACGGGGAGCAGGGGCTCTCTGCCAAACATAAGGTGGTGAGGGGGATAGCCTGTTGACTGATGCGGGGTAGTATTGTAATTAAACAAGAGTTGGGAAAGATATTGTGGCCAGTGGCGCTTCTGATCAGCCGAAAGGGTTTGAAGAAGATCATGCAAAGTCCGGTTAAAACGTTCGCACTGCCTGTTCCCCTGCGGGTGGTAGGGCGTAGTCCTGGACTTTTTAATGCCATACAAATCACAAAGTTGATATATGATGGCGTTCTCAAAACTGCGGCCTTGGTCTGAATGCAACCTCGCTGGGACTCCAAACTTGTAAAACCAGTGATTGACTAGAACACCAGCAACGGTGGCGGCACGCTGGTCCCGGGTAGGAACAACCTGGGTAAACTTTGAGAAAATGTCTGTCATCACTAGCACTTGTTCTCTGCCATCCTGAGCTGGTTCTAAAAACGAAAAATCAATTGCCAGGACTCCATTTGGGCCAGAGGCCAATAGATACCCCATTGGAGCGCGTACCCGTGGCACTGTGCTCTTGGCCAGACAGCATCGTTCACACTGCAGGCACCAGTCACGGATTGTTGACCGCATACCAGGCCAGTAGCATCTCTGCCGTACCAGTTCAGTTGTGCGCTCAATACCCTGGTGACCGTGATGTGTATGCAACTGCTCAAAGACTTCTGCGCGAAGGCTCTCTGGCAACACCAGCTGTAGGACCTCCTCCCCTCCATCTGATCGTTGATAAGCCCGGTACAATAGTCCGTCTCGGGTGCGCAGCCGGTCCCACTGGCGTAGTAACTCTTGCAACGCAGGACCCTTGTCTTGTCGCTCGGTCAGGCTTGGAATTCGTTGCTGCTTAACATAGGGATGCACAAAAGAGATAAGAGGATCTGCTTGCTGTATGATTACCAAGTCACCGGGAGTTCGTTCCGGCAATGCAGAGATGGCGGATTGAACAGCCACCCTTTCTGGCCGTACTGCCTTGTCGATTTCCCCTGGGATTAGTGTACCTGGACGAGATGAAACTGGGGGGGTGTGTTAGAGGTTGCCTGGAGAGGGCGTCTGCGTTCTGGTTGGTGCGGCCAGGGCGATACTTCACCACATAGTCAAAGACGGCCAGCTCTGCCACCCAGCGCTGCTCCGTAGCCCCCAGCTTGGCCGTTCCCAGATGACTGAGGGGGTTATTGTCAGTCCACACTACACATTTGTTACTCAGCAGGTACTCACGGAATTTCTCTGACATCGCCCACTTCATGCCAAGAAACTCCAGTTTCATAGAGCTGTAGTTCTTTTCGGCTGGGAGTAGGCTGCGGCTGGCATATGCAATGGGACGGGTCTTGCCATCTTGTTCCTGGGACAGAACAGCTCCTAGGCCTTCATGGCTGGCATCCACTTCTAAGATAAAAGGAAGGTTAAAATTTGCATATGCTAGCACCGGAGAGGACACCAACCTTGCTTTAAGCTCTCCAAAGCTGAAGTCACACTGTGGGGTCCATGCATCATTCAGGGACACACCTCGACCTCTGCGGTTTTTCTTGCCAGCCAGTTGTGCTACAACCCGGTGCAGGGGGGCCGCGAGCCTGGCAAACCTTTCTACAAAACGCCTATAATAACTTGCAAACCCCAGAAACGAGCGGAGTTCGGCTACTGTGCTTGGGGTAGGCCATTTCTCCACAGCAGAAATTTTCTTTGGGTCCGTAGATACCCCAGCTGCCGACACGACATGTCCCAAGTACCCCACTTTGTTCTGGAAGAAACTACATTTGCCCAGTTTCACCTTGAGTGACTCTTTTTGGAGGCGACTGAGAACCAGCCTCAAGCGGTCAAGATGCTCCCCCACAGTGGATGAAAACACAATGACGTCATCTAAATATAGCAGCAGAGACTGGCAGTTCTGGTCCCCTAGCAGCCTCTCCATTAGCCGTTGAAAGGTACTAGGGGCATTGCAGAGACCAAATGGCATCCTCTGGAACTCAAACAGTCCAAATGGGGTGCAGAAGGCGGTCTTAGCTTTGTCTGCCTCAGTTACTGCCACTTGATGATAGCCGCTAGCTAAATCTATGGTGGAAAACCACTTTGCACCCGAGAGAGCATCTAAGGACTCTTCAATTCTAGGAAGTGGGAAAGCATCTTTCCTAGTTTTGTTGTTCAATAGTCTATAGTCCACACATAGTCTTAAGCTGCCCTCTTTTTTCCGGACAAGCACGATCGGTGAAGCATAGGGGCTACAACTCTCCCGAATGACTTTGCTGTCCAACAATTGACGAATGTGTGCCCTAACTTCGTCATAATCAGATGGGGGTATGCGCCTGTATCTCTGCCTGATTGGGGCATCGTCGTTTAGTGGAATGTCATGGGTAATTAAGGAGGTGCAGCCTAGGTCCAAATCAGATGATGCAAAGACCTTTTCATGTTCAAGCAAGAGGGAGAATACACGTTGCCGGTCGGTATCAGTTAGTGACGCGAGGTGTAGTGATGCAATCTGGCCCCTAACAGAGTCAGATAAGACGGCCTGGGAATAGACTGTGGCCCCTGCACTATGTGGCTGTGTGAATGAGATTCCATCTGGCATGCTAATAACATCTGCTCGGCTTAGTGTTGCTATAGGGTGATGAGGGGTATAGTGCAGTCCCTCTTTGCCCTACATTGACAACCGGAATGTAAACTGTACCTTTCTCGACCGTGACCATTGCAGGTGAGACCAACAAGCCTTCAGGGAGGGGTTGACCACTATCCACCGGTTCGATCAAGACTGTACCTGTAGACCAGCCATTCCCAAACTCAGTAACACCGAGGCCCCCTTAAAAATCTGACGGGTCTGCGTGGCCCCCCAAAATAATAACCAAGAAGACAACATTAAGAATAGGCTCTTCTGGTTATTTTATTTTGGGGAAATAGCCTCTGCTAAAAACATTGTAATACAAAAATGATTACAGTGGATCATTCAAGTCAAATAATGAACACAAATATTTTAATATTACAAACAAAACATTATAAATTTAACATTAAATAATTATATTATTTTTTTTATGACCTCCCGCGGCCCCCCTGCAGTACCCTCGCGGCCCACAAGGGGGCCGCGGACCCCACTTTGGGAGACACTGCTGTAGACTGACTAAAGTGAGCAGAGCATGTGGCAGCAATCAATTTCATTGAGCCCCCAGGAATAATGACAGGACGCCTACCTCGCACTCGAGCCACACTGCTCGTAGGTGGCAAATCTGTGGTCTCAGTGTAGTGGCAATGATACAAGGCCTGCTGCAACGCTACAGATGCCTGCTGTACTTCAGGAAGGTCAAAGAGGTTAGGGCCATGCTCACTGAACAACATTTGATAACATTTTTTTATTATGTTCATTCCCAACACTCCTCTTACCTCACCTGTCCCTGGGGGGTCCTTAACAACCAGAATACCCCGGTTCGGTACAACCTGACCAAATACAGTCACGTCCATCTCAATAAAGCCCACATAAGGGATGTCAAAGCCATTAGCTGCAGTCAGCTCCAGCCAGTTACAGGATTTAGGGGTGCCTTTAAAGTTCTGCCTAAAGAAACTCTCTGGCAAGGTGGTAACCATTGAGCCAGTGTCTAGGAGCAGCTTAGCAGTTACTCCCCCTAAGCTAACAGTTACCTCCGGACATGCTGCTATAAGGCGGTCAATTGGGCGATGTGGGCCTGGCCTTTGTATCTGTGAGCCGTTACCTTCCCCTTCTGATGTTTGGCTCCTTACACCAGAGGGTTGAAGTTTCCCGCCTCCTGAAGAGCAGAGGTAGCGGCCACATGCTGAGGCCGAGCCTGTGGAATGAACCGCTCATTATCACACTCCCGAGCAAAATGGCCGGGTTTTTGACAGCGGAGGCACAGTAGGGTGTTAGGTCGCCTGACTGGAGGTCGGGGGGCTGTCTGCAATGCCAACAACCCCTGGGTCAGTTGATTTAACTGTTCCTGTTGCTTTTCTAGAAGCTGTCGCAGCTCTGTGAACTCCGAGTTTGCCGTTAGGCTAGGTGGGCGGGCCCTGGAATAATGAACAGCGCTGAAGGATGGGACTGAAAAGCTCCTACCCCGTGGCTCATCTGGTCTACCCTCTCGTTCCCACCTTATGGCCTCAGCTCTAACCTCTAACAGCGTGCACTCAGGCTTCTCCCTCACTAACCTTTTTAGTTCCCTGCGCAGGTTAGGATCTAGGACATGCTCAACAAACTGGTCGCGTAAGAGGATGTGGGAGTCTGCCATTTTCCTGGGAGCACAACGCTCGACTTTCTCCATAAGACAACATAAGGCATGCGGAAACTCATGCAGTGACTCTCCTTCCTGTTGCTTTCTGGAAAAAAAACATTCTTGCAAGGACACATAGGAACGTACACAGCCATACAACTCCCGCAGAATAGACATAATTCTTTCTGGATCTTCCCTCTCTGTTCTTGTTCTGTACCTGATCTCATCTTTAGCCTCACCCTCCAAATGGTCAAATACAAAATATGCTTGATCTACAGTGGTTAGTCGTCTAGTCCTCAGTGTGCCCCTCATTTCTTCTATCCAGTCCTCTATGGGTATCCCAGAAGTCCCCCTGAAGAGCGGGCACTTGCGTTCTCTGGGAATATACAGCAGGCGTTCCATAGACTCCCCATTGCTGGAATGGACATTAGATAGGGGGGCTGGACAGTCATTGGAGCAACTCGGGGCAGCTGCTCCAGAGTTCATATTGGAAGCGGCTAGCAGCCGTTCATTTTCAGACTGGAGCTGCTGGACCAAGTCTCTGAGCTCTTGTTCAGTGGCCATGATTGTTGTGGGGTGCGGAAAGTACAGGAGAACGGTAGGAGCCGTTGCCGTTGTGGAGGTCCAGCTGGCTTCCTCGATGACCAATGCAGTTCTATTTGGGTCTAATTGGACAAGCACAAAAAAACAAAACAAAAATACAAAACATATAGAATAATCGCCCAAGTCAGTACAATCACTATTGCATCCCAGCCACACTGCCAGACAACGCCAATTGTGACCGCAGGGCCCTGGTATAATGGTGGGATGCAACAAGTAATTGACCAGACACAAATTATACAATTTTGAGCAATTTATTTGGCGAAATGAGACCTAAGAAATAGGAAAATATATGTTTTTATTTCATTGTATTAAATGTAATCATTAAAAATACCAATTATAAAATATGTGCTCCAATGCTAACCAGAAAGAAAGAAAGCAACACTCAGGGCTGGCCAGTAGCGGCCATACACGATGGAGGACTAAGGGGCTGGAATAGAGCACTCACTACGCTCCGTGCCACACATTCATACACACACACCAAATCAAGAAAAGAGGCAAACTGAAAATGTACAAGTGGTGAAGGGAGGTGCAAAATACCACGGCATTCAAAAGGAGCGATGGTGCAGCAGTGGGTAACTCTATCACCAAATCCCCCACCATGAGAAGCCACGCCCGGACCAGACCCTGAGCAGAAAAAGACACAATGAGCACAAGTACCCAATCACAGGGTTCAATATATTAAATGAACTAAGCACCAAACAAACACAGTAAATAAGTAAAATTAAATAAGAAACAACACAAAACAAAATTATGAGAGGAATCACCGCCCCAGGGACACGATTGGCGCAAGTGGCACAGGGATTTGTAGCGCAGTAGGGTGTCTGCTGTGTGTTAAATATGGTGTAATGTAATGAATGCGGAAACGCTTGGGGGGGAATTCCCTCTACGGCGGCTCATAGGGACAAACAACCCACCGGCATTCATACCCCGGGGCTCTTGAATTGGCGGCCCGACAATACCACAATCTTATCGGTAATGTGTGAAGGTGGTTGGACAGCACTGTATCTAGGAGGTTATAGCCCTTGCCCTGCCTCTGCCCCTACATCTAGCTGGCAGATTATATGGATTTGAATGCAGGCCAGCGGTCCTTCGACTGGACCTCCTAAGTGACGGGGGGTCAGAGTTCACTGGGCAACTCTGGTTCTCTTGAACTGGTGGATCCACCTCTGCCTCCACCGGAGTTCCGATGCAAGGTTCCTTTGCGAGCGGTCTGCCTGGAGCGTCGCTGGCTAGCCAGAGGCCCTCCTCCTCAGGTTCGCTGTTGGTGGTTCCAGGGGATGTTCCTCTTCTCGTTTTGGGAGATTGCCACCTAGCAAGCACAGGTTTAAGCATGGTTCTATGGACGTGGCGTACCTCAGTTTGTCTCTCTTGCGGGGCCACAGCATATACCACCCCACCGGGCTCAGGGAGCTTCACTACCAGGAATACTTCTGGGGCCCATGCGTCCTGGATTTTTGATCTTGCTCGTGGGAGTGGTCCTGTAGGTAAACATGCTGTCCAACCGGCAAGATTTCCTCCTGCGCTTGCCTGTCAGCTCTCCCTTTCCGTCGTTCAGCAGCCGCCCGCATGTGCTCCCTAGCACTCTCTGTAACCACCTGCATCCGTCGTTGGTGCTCCCTGATCCACTGGCTGGATTCCCCGGGGATTGGGTCATTGAATTTACCCAACATGAAGTCCACGGGGAGCAGGGGCTCTCTGCCAAACATAAGGTGGTGAGGGGGATAGCCTGTTGACTGATGCGGGGTAGTATTGTAATTAAACAAGAGTTGGGAAAGATATTGTGGCCAGTGGCGCTTCTGATCAGCCGAAAGGGTTCGAAGAAGATCATGCAAAGTCCGGTTAAAACGTTCGCACTGCCCGTTCCCCTGCGGGTGGTAGGGCGTAGTCCTGGACTTTTTAATGCCATACAAATCACAAAGTTGATATATGATGGCGTTCTCAAAACTGCGGCCTTGGTCTGAATGCAACCTCGCTGGGACTCCAAACTTGTAAAACCAGTGATTGACTAGAACACCAGCAACGGTGGCGGCACGCTGGTCCCGGGTAGGAACAACCTGGGTAAACTTTGAGAAAATGTCTGTCATCACTAGCACTTGTTCTCTGCCATCCTGAGCTGGTTCTAAAAACGAAAAATCAATTGCCAGGACTCCATTTGGGCCAGAGGCCAATAGATACCCCATTGGAGCGCGTACCCGTGGCACTGTGCTCTTGGCCAGACAGCATCGTTCACACTGCAGGCACCAGTCACGGATTGTTGACCGCATACCAGGCCAGTAGCATCTCTGCCGTACCAGTTCAGTTGTGCGCTCAATACCCTGGTGACCGTGATGTGTATGCAACTGCTCAAAGACTTCTGCGCGAAGGCTCTCTGGCAACACCAGCTGTAGGACCTCCTCCCCTCCATCTGATCGTTGATAAGCCCGGTACAATAGTCCGTCTCGGGTGCGCAGCCGGTCCCACTGGCGTAGTAACTCTTGCAACGCAGGACCCTTGTCTTGTCGCTCGGTCAGGCTTGGAATTCGTTGCTGCTTAACATAGGGATGCACAAAAGAGATAAGAGGATCTGCTTGCTGTATGATTACCAAGTCACCGGGAGTTCGTTCCGGCAATGCAGAGATGGCGGATTGAACAGCCACCCTTTCTGGCCGTACTGCCTTGTCGATTTCCCCTGGGATTAGTGTACCTGGACGAGATGAAACTGGGGGGGTGTGTTAGAGGTTGCCTGGAGAGGGCGTCTGCGTTCTGGTTGGTGCGGCCAGGGCGATACTTCACCACATAGTCAAAGACGGCCAGCTCTGCCACCCAGCGCTGCTCCGTAGCCCCCAGCTTGGCCGTTCCCAGATGACTGAGGGGGTTATTGTCAGTCCACACTACACATTTGTTACTCAGCAGGTACTCACGGAATTTCTCTGACATCGCCCACTTCATGCCAAGAAACTCCAGTTTCATAGAGCTGTAGTTCTTTTCGGCTGGGAGTAGGCTGCGGCTGGCATATGCAATGGGACGGGTCTTGCCATCTTGTTCCTGGGACAGAACAGCTCCTAGGCCTTCATGGCTGGCATCCACTTCTAAGATAAAAGGAAGGTTAAAATTTGCATATGCTAGCACCGGAGAGGACACCAACCTTGCTTTAAGCTCTCCAAAGCTGAAGTCACACTGTGGGGTCCATGCATCATTCAGGGACACACCTCGACCTCTGCGGTTTTTCTTGCCAGCCAGTTGTGCTACAACCCGGTGCAGGGGGGCCGCGAGCCTGGCAAACCTTTCTACAAAACGCCTATAATAACTTGCAAACCCCAGAAACGAGCGGAGTTCGGCTACTGTGCTTGGGGTAGGCCATTTCTCCACAGCAGAAATTTTCTTTGGGTCCGTAGATACCCCAGCTGCCGACACGACATGTCCCAAGTACCCCACTTTGTTCTGGAAGAAACTACATTTGCCCAGTTTCACCTTGAGTGACTCTTTTTGGAGGCGACTGAGAACCAGCCTCAAGCGGTCAAGATGCTCCCCCACAGTGGATGAAAACACAATGACGTCATCTAAATATAGCAGCAGAGACTGGCAGTTCTGGTCCCCTAGCAGCCTCTCCATTAGCCGTTGAAAGGTACTAGGGGCATTGCAGAGACCAAATGGCATCCTCTGGAACTCAAACAGTCCAAATGGGGTGCAGAAGGCGGTCTTAGCTTTGTCTGCCTCAGTTACTGCCACTTGATGATAGCCGCTAGCTAAATCTATGGTGGAAAACCACTTTGCACCCGAGAGAGCATCTAAGGACTCTTCAATTCTAGGAAGTGGGAAAGCATCTTTCCTAGTTTTGTTGTTCAATAGTCTATAGTCCACACATAGTCTTAAGCTGCCCTCTTTTTTCCGGACAAGCACGATCGGTGAAGCATAGGGGCTACAACTCTCCCGAATGACTTTGCTGTCCAACAATTGACGAATGTGTGCCCTAACTTCGTCATAATCAGATGGGGGTATGCGCCTGTATCTCTGCCTGATTGGGGCATCGTCGTTTAGTGGAATGTCATGGGTAATTAAGGAGGTGCAGCCTAGGTCCAAATCAGATGATGCAAAGACCTTTTCATGTTCAAGCAAGAGGGAGAATACACGTTGCCGGTCGGTATCAGTTAGTGACGCGAGGTGTAGTGATGCAATCTGGCCCCTAACAGAGTCAGATAAGACGGCCTGGGAATAGACTGTGGTCCCTGCACTATGTGGCTGTGTGAATGAGATTCCATCTGGCATGCTAATAACATCTGCTCGGCTTAGTGTTGCTATAGGGTGATGAGGGTATAGTGCAGTCCCTCTTTGCCCTACATTGACAACCGGAATGTAAACTGTACCTTTCTCGACCGTGACCATTGCAGGTGAGACCAACAAGCCTTCAGGGAGGGGTTGACCACTATCCACCGGTTCGATCAAGACTGTACCTGTAGACCAGCCATTCCCAAACTCAGTAACACCGAGGCCCCCTTAAAAATCTGACGGGTCTGCGTGGCCCCCCAAAATAATAACCAAGAAGACAACATTAAGAATAGGCTCTTCTGGTTATTTTATTTTGGGGAAATAGCCTCTGCTAAAAACATTGTAATACAAAAATGATTACAGTGGATCATTCAAGTCAAATAATGAACACAAATATTTTAATATTACAAACAAAACATTATAAATTTAACATTAAATAATTATATTATTTTTTTTATGACCTCCCGCGGCCCCCCTGCAGTACCCTCGCGGCCCACAAGGGGGCCGCGGACCCCACTTTGGGAGACACTGCTGTAGACTGACTAAAGTGAGCAGAGCATGTGGCAGCAATCAATTTCATTGAGCCCCCAGGAATAATGACAGGACGCCTACCTCGCACTCGAGCCACACTGCTCGTAGGTGGCAAATCTGTGGTCTCAGTGTAGTGGCAATGATACAAGGCCTGCTGCAACGCTACAGATGCCTGCTGTACTTCAGGAAGGTCAAAGAGGTTAGGGCCATGCTCACTGAACAACATTTGATAACATTTTTTTATTATGTTCATTCCCAACACTCCTCTTACCTCACCTGTCCCTGGGGGGTCCTTAACAACCAGAATACCCCGGTTCGGTACAACCTGACCAAATACAGTCACGTCCATCTCAATAAAGCCCACATAAGGGATGTCAAAGCCATTAGCTGCAGTCAGCTCCAGCCAGTTACAGGATTTAGGGGTGCCTTTAAAGTTCTGCCTAAAGAAACTCTCTGGCAAGGTGGTAACCATTGAGCCAGTGTCTAGGAGCAGCTTAGCAGTTACTCCCCCTAAGCTAACAGTTACCTCCGGACATGCTGCTATAAGGCGGTCAATTGGGCGATGTGGGCCTGGCCTTTGTATCTGTGAGCCGTTACCTTCCCCTTCTGATGTTTGGCTCCTTACACCAGAGGGTTGAAGTTTCCCGCCTCCTGAAGAGCAGAGGTAGCGGCCACATGCTGAGGCCGAGCCTGTGGAATGAACCGCTCATTATCACACTCCCGAGCAAAATGGCCGGGTTTTTGACAGCGGAGGCACAGTAGGGTGTTAGGTCGCCTGACTGGAGGTCGGGGGGCTGTCTGCAATGCCAACAACCCCTGGGTCAGTTGATTTAACTGTTCCTGTTGCTTTTCTAGAAGCTGTCGCAGCTCTGTGAACTCCGAGTTTGCCGTTAGGCTAGGTGGGCGGGCCCTGGAATAATGAACAGCGCTGAAGGATGGGACTGAAAAGCTCCTACCCCGTGGCTCATCTGGTCTACCCTCTCGTTCCCACCTTATGGCCTCAGCTCTAACCTCTAACAGCGTGCACTCAGGCTTCTCCCTCACTAACCTTTTTAGTTCCCTGCGCAGGTTAGGATCTAGGACATGCTCAACAAACTGGTCGCGTAAGAGGATGTGGGAGTCTGCCATTTTCCTGGGAGCACAACGCTCGACTTTCTCCATAAGACAACATAAGGCATGCGGAAACTCATGCAGTGACTCTCCTTCCTGTTGCTTTCTGGAAAAAAAACATTCTTGCAAGGACACATAGGAACGTACACAGCCATACAACTCCCGCAGAATAGACATAATTCTTTCTGGATCTTCCCTCTCTGTTCTTGTTCTGTACCTGATCTCATCTTTAGCCTCACCCTCCAAATGGTCAAATACAAAATATGCTTGATCTACAGTGGTTAGTCGTCTAGTCCTCAGTGTGCCCCTCATTTCTTCTATCCAGTCCTCTATGGGTATCCCAGAAGTCCCCCTGAAGAGCGGGCACTTGCGTTCTCTGGGAATATACAGCAGGCGTTCCATAGACTCCCCATTGCTGGAATGGACATTAGATAGGGGGGCTGGACAGTCATTGGAGCAACTCGGGGCAGCTGCTCCAGAGTTCATATTGGAAGCGGCTAGCAGCCGTTCATTTTCAGACTGGAGCTGCTGGACCAAGTCTCTGAGCTCTTGTTCAGTGGCCATGATTGTTGTGGGGTGCGGAAAGTACAGGAGAACGGTAGGAGCCGTTGCCGTTGTGGAGGTCCAGCTGGCTTCCTCGATGACCAATGCAGTTCTATTTGGGTCTAATTGGACAAGCACAAAAAAACAAAACAAAAATACAAAACATATAGAATAATCGCCCAAGTCAGTACAATCACTATTGCATCCCAGCCACACTGCCAGACAACGCCAATTGTGACCGCAGGGCCCTGGTATAATGGTGGGATGCAACAAGTAATTGACCAGACACAAATTATACAATTTTGAGCAATTTATTTGGCGAAATGAGACCTAAGAAATAGGAAAATATATGTTTTTATTTCATTGTATTAAATGTAATCATTAAAAATACCAATTATAAAATATGTGCTCCAATGCTAACCAGAAAGAAAGAAAGCAACACTCAGGGCTGGCCAGTAGCGGCCATACACGATGGAGGACTAAGGGGCTGGAATAGAGCACTCACTACGCTCCGTGCCACACATTCATACACACACACCAAATCAAGAAAAGAGGCAAACTGAAAATGTACAAGTGGTGAAGGGAGGTGCAAAATACCACGGCATTCAAAAGGAGCGATGGTGCAGCAGTGGGTAACTCTATCACCAAATCCCCCACCATGAGAAGCCACGCCCGGACCAGACCCTGAGCAGAAAAAGACACAATGAGCACAAGTACCCAATCACAGGGTTCAATATATTAAAATGAACTAAGCACCAAACAAACACAGTAAATAAGTAAATTAAATAAAGAAACAACAAAAACAAAATTAAATGCCAATTAGACCCAAATAAAAACTGCAAGGCACTCAGCGCCTATAAGAACAAAAAAGAGTTAACACATGTGATAAATATTCCTCCTCTACTTGTAAACTGGCATTACCTAGTATGACTACACGAGAGCGGCTAGGTCATAGCAGGCCGCCTCCTTTACACACGCAGCAGTCTGAGCCAGCGTCTAAAACACAAAAAGGAGAACTGAGAATTCACTAAAAAATGAGGAGCACAAACACACCTACCAGGCCTTCAGCAGTGAGAGGAATACCCACCCCAGGGACCACGATTGGCGCAAGTGGCACAGGGATGTAGCGTCAGTACGGGTGTCTGCTGTGTGTTTATATATGAGTGCTAATGTAATGGAATGCGGAAGTCTACGTACCGGCTTGGGGGGGAATTCCCTCTACGGCGGCTCATTAGGGACAAACAACCCACCGGTTACATCTGCAACTGTACGAAGAAGACACATAAATGAAAATACGGGTGAACTATTTATGGGAATGATAAACTTTGAGAATGCATTGTATTCTACGGTAGATGAACTGTTTAACTCTGTCACCTCTAGTGTTTTGAATGTTCTGGACACCATCGCTCCTGTGAAGGTTAAAATAGTGAAAAATAAGCAGAAGGCGCCTTGGACTAAAGCAGACTCGGTCAGGGCACAAAAGAGAGAGTGTCGGAGGGCCGAGCGGAAGTGGCGCAAGTCCAACCTCCAGGTTGATTACAAGATCTTCAAAGATAAGTTGTGCGAGTTTAACCGGGTGCTACGTAGTACGAGAGAAAGGTATTTTTCTGAAATGATTGAAGGCTGCAGCAACAATCTGCGTGTTCTGTTTTCAACAGTTAATAGATTAACAAACCCCCCTGTTCAGATGCCATTAGAGCTAATGTTCCAAACGTAAATGTAATGAGTTTGCAAATTTTTTCAACGACAAGGTTCAAGGCATCAAAAACGCCATTGCCTCCAATCCACAGATAACCATCCAACAACCAGAAAGGCTCTTTGAGCTAACTTACTTTGCACCTGTAAATGATCAAACTGTCCAAGAGATAATCTCCAGTCTGAGCTCCTCCACATGCAGCCTGGATGTACTACCCACTAGATTTCTAAAGTCTGTTCTGAGCAGTCTGTTACCTTCACTCACACAGATAGTAAACATGTCCCTTCATTCTGGAATATTCCCAAAGGCCCTGAAAACTGCAGTCATCAGGCCCCTGCTAAAAAAGAGCAGTCTGGATGCTACGGTACTTAACAACTATCGTCCCATCTCAAATCTGCCATTTATGGGGAAAGTCCTTGAAAAAGTTGTCTACCAACAGCTAAATAGATTTCTTATAATCAACAACTCATTTGATATGTTTCAGTCCGGCTTTAGACCCCACCACAGCACTGAGACTGCTCTCGTCAAGGTTACAAACGATATCCGGCTGAACACTGACGCAGGCAAAGTCTCAATCCTAATCCTGTTAGATCTAAGTGCTGCCTTTGACACTGTCGACCATGAAATCCTCTTACAGAGACTAGAGGACTGGGTTGGTGTCGCTGGCACCGCCCTAAGTTGGTTTAGGTCTTACCTTGAAGACAGGAAGTACTTTGTGGAGATTGGAAACTGTGTCTCAGATCATATGGCCCTGACCTGTGGAGTACCACAGGGGTCGATCCTGGGACCTCTTCTGTTCAATCTCTACATGCTGCCGTTAGGTCAGTTAATACGCAGAAACAAAGTGTCCTATCACAACTATGCAGACGACACTCAGATCTAAACAAAGATGGCGCCTCGTACGGTCGACATGGCTCTTTGCTGCTCTCTTTTTCTTTTGTTTTTACTTTTTAACTGCGCATCTGGCTGTTCCTACACCCGTGAGGAACTTATGAACATCCGACCCACCGTTCCCATGGACCTATTGCCTGTTTTCTTGGCATCTGCGGCTGATTTAGTTCATGTTCTAGCCAAAAAAGTGTGGGCCCGTAAAAGGGGAAAGCGCGGAGGCCTGCTCGTGCGTCTTAGGAGGAGAGGAGCGCGCACGGCTCTCCCCGGCATTTTTCTCTCCAACGTACGCTCACTGGGCAATAAGATGGACGAACTCAGCCTGCTCATGAGAAGAAACAAGGACTTCGCCACATCCTGTGTCCTCTGCTTCACTGAGACCTGGCTAAATGAGCGGATCCCGGACTGCGCTCTGGAGCTGCAGGGCTTTGGGCTGTTCCGCGCGGATCGCCATTGTGCGCTCTCAGGGAAGAGCAGAGGCGGAGGGCTGTGTTTTTACGTCAATACAAACTGGTGTAACGATGTGACAGTGATCTCCAAGCACTGCTCTCCTGCTCTGGAATATCTTTTCATTCATTGTAAACCATATTACTCCCCGCGCGAAATTGTTTCATTCATTCTTGCCTCTGTTTACATACCGCCATGCGCGGACGCGCGCGAGGCTCAGCGCGCACTCGCAGAGCAAGTACTGTGTATGGAACGCTTATACCCGGACTCTCTGATTATTATCCTGGGGGATTTTAATAAGGGAAACTTGAGCCAGGAATTACCCAAATACAGACAGTTTATCAAATGCCCGACCAGAGAGGAGAACACTCTGGATCACTGTTACACCACCGTGCGCGGAGCTTTTCGCGCTGTTCCCAAGCCAGCCCTCGGCTTCTCAGATCACTCCATGATACATCTGGTTCCTGCTTACAGACAGAGACTAAAGCTCTCGAAACCTGCAATGAGGAGCTCCAAAGTGTGGTCTGATGAAGCTGTGGAAGAGCTGCGCGCATGCATGGAATCTACAGACTGGGACCTTTTCAGAGCTGCCACAGATAGTTTGGATGAATATACGGACACTGTGACGTCATACATTCACTTCTGTGAGGATAGCATCATTCCAACAAGGACCAGGGTCATCTATAACAACGACAAACCCTGGTTCACTGCTAAACTCCGGCAGCTCAGGAAAGCAAAGGAGTCTGCTTTCAGGGAGGGGGACCGCAGCGGCTACAAAGCAGCTAAATATCAGTTCAGGAGAGAACTGAAAGCAGCCAAGTCCCGGCACAGAGAACGACTACAGGAGCAGTTTGGTAACAACGATACTGCTTCTGTCTGGAGGGGCCTACGGGAGATCACCAACTACAAACCCAAAGCCCCCCCCTGTGCTGACGACCACAAGCTAGCTGACGATCTGAACTTATTTTTCAGTCGCTTTGATGCTGCCCCTGACACCTCTCCCTCCCCCACCCCCCACTACTCTAACGACCCACCCATCAGCCCTGCCCCCAGCCTAACAATAGCCGCTAAAGAGATTAAACAACTCTTCCTGAGGCTGCACCCCCGCAAAGCTCCTGGCCCGGACCACGTGTCTCCGGCCACTCTGAGACACTGCGCCAGTGAGCTTACTCCTGTGTTCACGGACATTTTCAACACCTCTCTGCAGTCCTGCCATGTCCCGGCCTGCTTCAAATCCTCCATCATTGTCCCCCGTCCCGAAGAAGCCCAGGATCACAGGACTCAATGACTACAGACCTGTAGCACTTACGTCTGTCGTCATGAAGTCATTTGAACGCCTGGTTCTCTCCCATCTCAAGTCCCTCACCTCCCCCCTCCTGGACCCCCTGCAGTTCGCCTACAGAGCCAACAGATCTGTAGACGACGCCATTAACCTGGCCCTCCACCACATCCTACAGCACCTGGACTCCCCGGGGACCTACGCCAGGGTCCTGTTTGTGGACTTCAGCTCTGCCTTCAACACAATCCTGCCATCCCTGCTCCAGGACAAGCTCTCCCAGCTCAACGTGCCCGATTCCACCTGCAGGTGGATCACTGACTTCCTGACGGACAGGAAGCAGCGAGTGCGTCTGGGGAAGAATGTCTCGGACTCTCGGATTATAAATACAGGAGCCCCACAGGGCTGTGTTCTTTCTCCCCTGCTCTTCTCCCTGTACACCAACCACTGCACCTCCAGCCACGACTCCGTGAAGCTGATCAAGTTCGCGGACGACACCACCCTCATTGGACTCATCTCCAACAACGATGAGTCCGCCTACAGGAGGGAGGTGGACCGGCTGGTGTCCTGGTGCAGTGGTAACAACCTGGAGCTGAACGCCCAGAAGACAGTGGAGATGATTGTGGACTTCAGGAAGAGCACTGTCCCCCCACCCCCACCCTCCGTGATGGACTCCCCCATCACCTCTGTGGAGTCCTTCCGTTTCCTGAGCACCACCATCACCCAGGACCTCAAGTGGGAGCCGACCATCAGCTCCCTCATCAAGAAGGCCCAGCAGAGGATGTACTTCCTGCGGCAGCTCAGGAAAGCCAAGCTGCCTGCACAGATGTTGGTGCAGTTCTACACGGCCATCATCGAGTCCATCCTCACCTCCTCCGTCACCGTGTGGTTCGCTGGAGCCACAGTCAGGGACAAACAGAGACTACAGCGCATTGTGCGCTCTGCAGAGGAAGTGATCGGCCGCAGCCTTCCATCGCTGCAGGACCTGTACGTCGCCCGAGCTCGAGGCCGGGCTGGTTGTATCACAGCCGACCCCTCTCACCCTGCACATGGACTATTCCAACCACTCCCCTCAGGCAGGAGGCTGCGGTCCATCAGGACTAGAACCTCCCGCCACAAGAACAGTTTCTTCCCCTCTGCTGTTGGACTCTTGAACACTTCTTAACCTGTCCCCCCGCCCTTTATAAAGTCACTTTACTGCCCATCATACGTCACTTTACTTCACTGTACTGCTGTTCACCTTACATTGTGTGCACCATGTGCACTTGTATATTGTAAATAGTAACTGTAACTCTATTTTAAATTTAAATTTATTCTTTAGAAGTGTTTTTTATTCTTATTTTTATTATCTCTTTTTGACTGTTGCACTGAGCCAAAGCAATTTCCTAGTCTGTGACCTCCTGTTACTTACGTGGCAATAAAAATGATTCTGATTCTGATTCTGATTCTATGTCTCACTGACTGCAGGAGAACATGGACCAGTGGACTCACTCCTTCACTGTATCCAACAGATCAGTGAGTGGATGCAAAACAACTTCCTCCAGCTAAACGCAGACAAAACTGAAATGATTGTCTTTGGTCCCCAGAAACAAAGAGAGAGCGTCATCTGTCATCTACAGTCTCTCTCCCTAAAACCTTCAAACAAGGTCAGATATTTAGGGGTAATACTGGACTCAGACTTAAATTTTAATAGCCACATCAAATCAGTAACATGAGCAGCTTTTCACCATCTAAAAAACATTGCCAGGATCAAAAACATAGTGTCTAAAGCAGACTTGGAGATTCTTATCCAGGCATTTGTCTCCAGTAGGTCGTTAGACTACTGCAATGGCATGCTCACAGGTCTGTCCAAACAGGCTGTAAAACAGCTGCAGTACATTCAAAATGCAGCAGCTCGAGTCCTGACTAGAACCAGGAAGTACGACCATATTAGTCCGGTCCTCAGGTCTCTGCACTGGCTTCCTGTGGCTCAGAGAATAGACTTTAAAACAGCTCTGCTTGTGTACAAGTCTCTCCATGGCCTCGCACCAAAATATATTAGTGACATGTTAGTACCATATGAACCAGCCCGGACTCTGAGGAGCACAGGGACTGGACTCCTGTTAGTGCCCAGCCCAGAGTCAGAACTAAACATGGGGAGGCTGCTTTTCAGATTCATGCTGCTAAAATCTGGAACAATCTTCATGAAGATGTGAGACAGGCCTCCTCTCTGACAATGTTTAAAACCAAGTTAAAAACGGTGCTGTTTAGCTGTGCATACAACTGAGGGATTTTATATTTTTATCTTTCTTTTTAATGTTCTGTGATTATTTATGATTTTAATGCTATCTTGTTCAGCACTTTGAGTTGCCTTGTGTATGAATTGTGCTATACAAATAAACTTGCCTTGCCTTGCCTTGCCTTAGTAAATCAGTTACTTTTTGGGAGAAGTAACTAGTAACTATAACTAATTACTTTTTCAAAGTAACATACCCAACACTGTCCTCCACAATTAACATGTACATGTGTTGAGCCCTCTGCTCCGAGCGTTCTGGAGAGGTAAGTTGTGTTTTGTGTAGAAATAAACAAAGGAGAAACAGGTTGGGTCTTCAGTAGCCTGGCCTACAATGAAATGAGTATGATGGTATGGTAAGACCAGACTAGGTCTCCAGTAGTAGTAGTATACAATTAATGTTAAGGGGTGAATTATATACACCGACATTAATTTACATTTTTTGTGGATTATTTATAATTCTTACTATTGTAGTTGTTGTTGAAGGATTTCAATCATGTCATTATTTGCAATGAAACTAAATAAATTGCTTGAATGGATTTTGATAAAATCAAATATGTTTCCATCAAATATCGTTTCCACCACATCACTCAGGATGTTCAATATCCGGACCCTAATCTATTGAACTGATCAAGTTAGTGGACCTCTTGCCAATTTAGTTGGGGACCCCTGATTTAGAGAGACCAGAAAGAGAACAGGGAGGGAGACTAGAGAGAGAGACCAGAGATAGAGAACAAAGAGAGACCAGAGAGACCACCACTCTCACATTAAAGATGTCAATATGATTAATTCCAACAAGGTTTTGGCTGCAAATACATCATTTTGATCGCAGGTGAACGCAATGTCTGTTTCTACCACCCGATTGAAGTTTTCTGATCTCTTTTTCCATAAAACATTTTGATAAATATATTTCAATAATTTGGGACAATAAGAACAAAACTAATGTCAGTAATATTTTTGTTCCAGGATGACGTCGGTTTGATGAAAGACATGAAGCTAAACCATTACCGATTCTCTATCTCTTGGCCACGGATTCTACCAAACGGACTGAAAAGTAGCTCCCGTCTCATTTATGAACATTAAGACAAGACTGCGTTTGTTTGCTGTAGATGATATGAGATCTACTCTCAGGTCGCTCTCTCTGGTTTCTCTCTCTTTGGTTTCTCTCTGGTCTCTCTCTGGTCTCTCTTGGTCTCTCTCACTAGTCTCTCTCTAGCTCCTGGTCGTTCTCTGGTCTCTCTCTCTGGTCTTTTTGTTGTCTCTCTCTGGTCCAAGGTGCATTGTGCTGTGACTTTAGAAGACTTATTTTGAAAGTGACGTTGCTTTTGACACTTTTTAGAGCAATAAAACATCAAATCTATGTACACATTCCAGACAATCACTTTGCTCTACTGACTATTTTCAGATGAACAGATCAACGAAAAAGGACTGAAATACTACGACGACCTCATCAACATGCTGCTGGAGAGTAAGATCACGCCGATAGTCACTCTGTACCACTGGGATCTGCCTCAGGTTTGTATGGCCAGAGAGAGACCAGACAGAGAGACCAGACAGAGAGACCAGAGAGAGAGACAAGAGAGAGAGACCCAAGAGATGGACCAGAAAGAGAGACCTGGGAGAGAGACTAGCCTTTAAGTCGTGTTCGTTTCTCGCCCCTTGTATGTAAGAGCTTGTTTTAACTGCTCTTATATTCATTTTTTTTCCTATTGCTTGAACACTATAGACACGTGCTTAGACCAAAAGACCTTAAACAAACATAAGTACTGCTTTGCTATTTCTGCAACACACTTTCTCATTCTGCAACACACTTTCTCCTCCTGCAACACTTTCTCTTTCTGCAACACATTTTCTCCTGCTCACTACACACTCTGTCATACATAAGACACTTTGTTCATAAATGCAATCCTGTTTTATCATTGGGAAAACACATCTATTCAAAATACTAAACACATGGTGTGATTGAAAACACTGTGAAACACGCTTGAAAACACGTTCTTGCAAAACGCGACACACATCAGTCAGACATAAACAGGCTTCAATTCAGCCATTCTCAGAACCTAGCAAGTCTGGAGACAGAACAGGAGGTAGAGGTGAAGGAAGAGGAAGACAAGAAGAGAGGAGGACATGGTTGAAGATATTTCTGATGGCACTAGAGCAACTTTTCTGGATCATGTGATAAACAAAAGGAAAGCAGAGAGTCCAGCCACAGCTGCATCATCAGGACCTTCAGATAGAAACATGTCTTCAACATGGACTGTAACTCTCTACTGGAGACTGCATCTACAGTATTTACAGTAAAACATTTAAAGTATTGTTGGCTAAATGGTAGTTTTGTGAAACGTACAATACAGTAAAGTAAATAGTACTGTACCATTGAGATGTCACAGTACTGTGTACAGTATACAGTACTGTAAAAAAGAGCTAAGCCTACAGTAACAATTTGTGGTTGCATATTTATACAGAATGACTAGAAGACCTTCTCAAGGTGCTCCACAGCTGTTCACCAACAGCAGGAACTTGCCTTTGTGGAAATAGTCCGAGCAGGGACCATGATCCATAATCTACTCACGCATAATTGCCAAGTTTTACATTAGAGTTTTTTTGTGCACTGGATTGACACAAATGCAAAAGTATACTGTTGTACTGTGATGTACAGTATACTGTAGTACTGTGATTACAGTATACTTTAGTACTGTTATGTACAGTATACTGTAGTACTGCGATGTACAGTATACTGTAGTACTGTGATGTTAATAACAAAAACAGTTCCATTGATGCTTCATAGAAAACTAACTAATAAACAGAATAAAAACAGTGAACATGAAATACTGCAGTGTTTTACACACAGTTCTCTAGTGTGTTGCTTCCAATCTGAAAGTGTGTTCACATGATGCAAGTGTGTATCATTTTGTCATTAAAGTTTCATTTTGACAAATGATTGTTAAGTTTTGAGAGCAGAGTTTGAGTTTTGATAAAGGAGTTTAATTTTGACCCAGATACAATACACAATACAATACAATACAATACAATTTATTCTTGTATAGCCCTAGGTCACAACAGAAGTCATCTCAGAGGACTTAACAAAACCATTGAAATCACCAACACAGGTCAGAGAATCAACAGTTAAAACACATGAAAAATATAAAGCACACACAGAAGAAAATGTCCATACATGTTGTAGAATGCTAAAGTGTCCTGATCATCACCAATCCTTTCTGTAGGACACTAACTGTCCAACAAGACCCTCCTGCATCGACAAGGAACAACTCTTTAAAACCCAGATGTGAATGGTTTATGTCCCAGCGTGTCTGGTTCTTGTGTGTAGAGTTTTGGGACAATGAGTGAAATTTAGCAATATGTGTTCAAGCAATTGGAGAAAACTATAACACAAAACCATTGATCATGACCAACTTGAATTCAAGTACCTTTTAAGCCGTAAACATGTCTCAGAATACTGGTTTACATGAATAACTGCAGTGAATAGACACAGAAAGTGTGTGTGTGTGTATGTGTGTGTGTGTGTGTGTGTGTGGATAAATATAATCTGATTAAACATACATTTCCTATGGTGGTCACTTTTGAAAACTACAGATGTAACAATGTTGACTAACACACTAAAAATTCAGGTAAAGTGATGCTCATCTCTTTTGTACAGGTGCACAGTGCGGAGGATATCATAAAGTCTTGGGGCAATGAGATGTAAAAAAAAAAACGTATGAGTGTTTAAATGTTTAAACTGGTCTAATTTGATCTGAACCCGACTCAAAGGCTAGAGTGAGAGACGAGAGATAGAGAGAGAGAGACTAGAGAAAGAGACAAGAGAGAAACTAGAGAAAGACCAGAGAGACTGGAAAGAAAGACCGGGAGGCAGACATCTTTTGACTCACTAGTATTGTTTTGTGCTTATCAGCTGCTGCAAGAGCGATACGGAGGCTGGCAAAACAGCAGCATGGTCAACTACTTCAACGACTTTGCAAATCTGTGTTTTGAGAAGTTTGGGAACAAAGTCAAGTACTGGGTCACTTTCAATAATCCGTGGGTGAGTCCTGCATCCACAGGTCATATGACAGACACTTTATCCCACGTACTGTCGGAGGTTTTGTGATAAAGATCCACAACTACACCTTAAGAGCCCTTGAAAGAGAGAGAGAGAGAGAGAGAGAGACCAAAGAGAGGGACTAGAGAGAGACCAATGCGACCAGAGAGAGATAAGAAAGAGCGAGACTAGAGAGACACCAGACTTCCTTCTCTACGCACACTTTCTCCAGCTCATTCGTGGCTCATCCTGAGCCACCTCAACTGACTCCTCTCCCTGTCTCCCTGTGGAAGAGCAGCGGCCTGTACTCCGCGCTCTTCCTGTGTGACTGAGCTCCTCCTGTATGTTTAAGGGAGCTCCATTCGTCCTTTCGGGCATTACCAAAAGCTCATGATCAAACGCGAGGGAGGGGATTTAGAGCTTTGACTGCAGACGCTGCTCCCTCATGACCAGAGGTGAGGGAGGGGACCTTGAGCTCTGACTGCAAACGCTCCATGACCAGTGATGAGGGAGGGGACGTAGACTGAGCTTTGACTTGAACTGCTCCAAAACAGCTTTATAACTCCTGCCCATGTTTGTGCCAGTCCATCGCAGTGGAGGGTTATGAGACCGGTGAGCATGCTCCGGGACTGAGGCTCCGGGGCATTGGGGCGTACAAGGCTGCACACAACATCATCAAGGTGAGAATATCAGAAATAATGCAGTTCACTGTATCAGTCGTTGTCCTGAATCACAACTGCAGTCGTCTCGGAGGACGTGATAAAGTTGTGGATTCACAAACAACAAATCAGATTGACCCATCGGGAACGGGATGACCACTGTACAGAAAATTTTAATGAATGTCCCGGATCATCCTTGTCCTTAGACCCTCCTGCATCTGCAAGGATCCACTCAAAAACCCATTGGGAAAAAAGAGAGAAACCTGGGGGAGGCCCATATTGAGAGGGGTCAGCTCCCATGGACGGACAGGCTGTAGATCCAGGACTGAGGCTGTAGATCCAGGACTGAAGCTGTAGATCCAGGACTGAAGCTGTAGATCCAGGACTGAAGCTCTAGATCCAGGACTGAGGCTGTAGATCCAGGACTGAAGCTGTAGATCCAGGACTGAAGCTGTAGATCCAGGACTAAAGCTGTAGACCCAGGACTGAGGCTATAGATCCAGGACTGAGGCTGTAGATCCAGGACATAGGACAGCTGAAGACATGATGGCATATCAAGTAGGAGAGTTTAGTGCGCTCTCTTTTTTTTTTATAGTGTTATAATCTTGTCTGTTTTTCTTTCCAGGCTCATGCTAAAGTGTGGCACACCTACGACTCTCAGTGGAGAAGCAAACAGAAAGGTCCACATGTTTTTCACTTATTTTCATCTTTATAATTCACTCTTTTGTGATAAATAATCTTTGTCTAACTGGGTTTCCCTCTCGCACAGACAGTTTATAGTGAATGGAAGCTCAGACGCTGTTTACATAAAAGAAAGAAGGTTTAATTTATACAAACAGAAAAATACAAATTACAGACTAAGCCTAGCCCAGGTCCCTGAAGATGGAATAACAGAATGACCCCGAACACACAAAGCAGTGGCCTCTTATAGTATTTAGGATGAGCCACAAGACACACTTTAACAAACATTCAGGACATTCATATGTAGTCTTATGATTTTGGTGCTTGTTCTCACATGAAGGTCCCTGTTGTCTTACCAGACGTCCCATCTCTCTCATGACTGGGAGATGGACAGCAATTTCCTGTCATTGAGTGCTGACATTGTCCCAAACACAATTTTATACATATGAAGATACATAAAGATAATAGAAGTTTTAATAGAAGACACTACACTTTGTCCTATCATCTTCCTTTGTGGACTTCAAGGATTTCCAATCAAACCAAAACACTATTCAGGAACTTGTATTCAAATTGTTTCAGCTGCATTATACTGTATAAGAATGAGAGAGAGACCAGATAGAGACCAGAGAGAGACTAAAGAGAGACTAAAGAGAGACCAGAGAGAGGCCAGAGACAAGAAAGAGACCAGAAAGAGACCAGAGAGAGACCAGAGAGAGAGCAGAGCGAGACCAGAGAGAAACCAAAGAGAGGGACCATAGAGACCAGAGAGAGAGACCAGAACTAAGTTGGTTTTGTCCTGTTGTCTTCCTTCATAGACAACACACTGTAAAAGCAGGTTCCCCTATTCAAAAGATTTGATTTTGTAAATTGTCACTATGGGAACTGTCCTGATTGGTCGTGGTTGTGCTTGGCAGGTCTGGTGGGCCTTTCCCTGACCTCGGACTGGGGGGAGCCTGTGGACAGCTCCAATCAAAGGGATATCGAGGCCGCGGACAGATTCATGCAATTCTCTCTGGGTTGGTTTGCTTCACCAGTGTTCTATGGAGACTACCCCCAAGTCATGAAGGAGTACATTGGTATGTTTCACACAATCATAGACACACACACACACACACAGGTGCACACTCACACTGTTGTGAGTGTGAACTGTTGTGAATGATCCATGGAAACAGAGTTACATTTTGTGTGGTTTAATGAAAGTAAAAAAGACATCATAAGAAAAAGCATTTGCAAATGGAGAATCAGTCTTTCTGACGCACAATGGGAAGAGCAGAGAAACAAGGGGGTTAAGGGGGTCAAAATCACTGGGGCAGAGGACGCAGGAACAAGACATTGGGCCTCATTCACGAACTGTTCTTAAGGACAAATTTACTACTTACGAGGATTTCCCGAAGATTGTGGCATTCATGAAAATGTCTCTTATCCAGGATTTCTTCTAAGAACAAATCCTACGAACACTCAGGAGCACATCTTAAACACATTCAGTGCTGACATGTTGCCATGTTGGTGTTGTCTACTTTTGCTGAGGTCAATAAAACACAACATTACAGTGATATGTCTGTCATATTGATGTGGTAATTTAGTATTTTAAAAAAAAAGATTACCATTTTCTATTATATGTGGCAACGCAAGGATGGGACCAGACTGCAGACGCGCTGTTCATGTTCGTGAGCACTTGCCTGTTTGTTAATAAAATGGAAATATTACAAGTCAACTGTAATTCACTTCAAATATGAGGACAGACCATTTCTAGTGCACACCTTTATTTTCTTTTGAAATTCTCATACAAATCTTTAAGAATTTTTGATATGGGTAAGTGTTGAAGCAATCTGCTCCAGAGTCTCCGCTATCTGTTCCTGATACTGTGTCCGAGATCAGGCGTGGTCGTGGAAAGGCACAGGTTTGTGTGGAGGGCTCCGTCCGTTTTGGTTCTGTTTCCTTTTTTTTTTTTTACTTACATTTTATTTATATTTTTACATTACAACAAATACAACAGAAAGAAAATACACAAAAACATGGGGTCAGTTGTTGTTCACATTTACTTTCCACTTTTTCCAGTGGTTTTCACAAGCTGCTTGTTGCAACTTAATGCTGAATGTAAGTCTCTCCATGGTGTGAATTTTCTTTTTTAATGTCTCTTCCTGTTACACACCCAAAGTAAAACACCAACCAAGTTTTTGGCAAGTTGTATCCAAATATTCGGTTGATTTCTTTACCAATACAAGTCCAGAAATATGTTAATTTGCAGCATTGCCAAAAAATATGTGCATGTCCCACATCTTGTTCGCCACAAAGTCTCCAGCAAGGTTGAGTTATTGATGAAGCTGTCTTCTTTATTTTTGGAGTGATGAAGTATCGTACCATGTTCTTCCTACAGAAAAACTTCCAATTTCTAGAACTGGAGGTGGTTATTTGAGTTTCACATATTTTATACCATGATTCTTCAGTTATTTCTTCTTTGAATTCCGTGACCCATTTGTCTCTAATATATAATGTTGATGTTTTCCTATTTGCTAACACCCCTTTGTACAGTTTAGTTATAGCCTTACCACTTTTATTTTTGTAAGAGTCGCTAAGTATTTCTGTAATTGCATTCATTTCACCTGGGAGGTTTGGTCTCATCTCTTTCAGAAAATGATCTCTCACTTGTAGGTACATACAGTGCCTTGCGAACGTATTCGGCCGCCTTGAACCTTTCAACATTTCGCCACATTTCAGGCTTCAAACAAAGATATATAATATTAATTTTTTTGTCAAGAATCAACAACAAGTGGGACACAATCGTGAAGTGGAACTAAATTTATTGGATAATTTAAACTTTTTTAACAAATAAAAAACTGAAAAGTGGGGCGTGCAATATTATTCGGCCCCCTTGTGCTAATACTTTGTAGCGCCACCTTTTGCTGCAATTACAGCTGCAAGTCGCTTGGGGTATGTCTCTATCCGTTTTGCACATCGAGAGACTGGAATTCTTGCCCATTCTTCCTTGCAAAACAGCTCGAGCTCAGTGAGGTTGGATGGAGAGCGTTTGTGAACAGCAGTCTTCAGCTCTTTCCACAGATTCTCGATTGGATTCAGGTCTGGACTTTGACTTGGCCATTCTAACACCTGGATACGTCTATTTGTGAACCATTCCATTGTAGATTTGGCTTTATGTTTTGGATCATTGTCCTGTTGGAAGATAAATCTCCGTCCCAGTCTCAGGTCTTTTGCAGACTCCAACAGGTTTTCTTCCAGAATGGTCCTGTATTTGGCTCCATCCATCTTTCCATCAATTTTAGCCATCTTCCCTGTCCCTGCTGAAGAAAAGCAGGCCCAAACCATGATGCTGCCACCATCATGTTTGACAGTGGGGATGGTGTGTTGCTTTTATGCCAAACATATCGTTTTGCATTGTGGCCAAAAAGTTCGATTTTGGTTTCATCTGACCAGAGCACCTTCTTCCACATGTTTGGTGTGTCTCCCATGTGGCTTGTGGCAAACTTTAAACGAGACTTTTTATGGATATCTTTGAGAAATTGCTTTCTTCTTGCCACTCTTCCATAAAGGCCAGATTTGTGCAGTCCACGACTGATTGTTGTCCTATGGACAGACTCTCCCACCTCAACTGTAGTTATCTACAGTTCATCCGGAGTGATCATGGGCCTCTTGACTGCATCTCTGATCAGTCTTCTCCTTGTTTGAGATGAAAGTTTGGAGGGACGGCCGGGTCTTGGTAGATTTGCAGTGGTCTGATACTCCTTCCATTTCAATATAATTGCTTGCACAGTGCTCCTTAAGATGTTTAAAGCTTGGGAAATCTTTTTGTATCCAAACCCGGCTTTAAACTTCAACACAACAATATCTCGGACCTGCCTGGTGTGTTCCTTTGTCTTCATGGTTCTCTCTGCGCTTTAAACAGAACCCTGAGACTATCAAAGAGCAGGTGCATTTATACGGAGACTTGATTACACACAGGTGCATTCTATTTATCATCATCAGTCATTTAGGACAACATTGGATCATTCAAAGATCCTCACTGAACTTCTGGAGTGAGTTTGCTGCACTGAAAGTAAAAGGGCCGAATAATATCGCACGCCCCACTTTTCAGTTTTTTATTTGTTAAAAAAGTTAAAATTATCCAATAAATTTTGTTCCACTTCATGATTGTGTCCCACTTGTTGATTCATGACAAAAAATTAAAATGTTATATCTTTAAGTTTGAAGCCTGAAATGTGGCGAAATGTTGAAAAGTTCAAGGGGGCCGAATACTGTATAAACATATTTGGACAAATTTGTTTAAAATATTCAACCCTTGGTTCCTGGAATTTTATGTTCATACTTCCTGGTTTGAAATATGTATCAAATGCAGGCCAGCTAAATAGTTTTATTTCTCTATTTCTCTATTTTAACTTTTGAGACAACTTTGAACTAACCCTCCAGAGTGAATTTGGCAATGGCATCTATTTTGTTTTCATTTTCTTTAAACAGTTTTCTATTGGCAATTATAGCTTGTACATGGTATACATTGTTCAATTCTATTTGCTTCCACTTAGCAACATATTCAGAATCACACCAAAGAATCAAAGGTTAGAGCTGTGCTGCATAGAAGTATTCTTGCAAGTTTGGCAGTGCCAGTCCACCCTCCCTTTTTGGTATTTGAAGTGTAGTGAATTTAATTCTTGGTTTTGCCCCATTCCAGATGAATCTAGAAATGTTTTTGTCCCCCTCTGCAAATTGTTGTTTTGGTATCCACACTGGTAATGATTGGAAGAGCTACAGAATTCTTGGCAGCACGTTCATCTTTATAGTTTAAATTCTTGCGTGTAAGTCCAGCAGTAAAATGTTCCATCTTTCTATATCTTTATACAGTTGTTGATTCAAAGCCTTGTAGTTGGTTTCATATAGTGCATTAAGGTTATCTGTCATTTGAATCCCCAAGTAGTCAATAGATTTTTCATTCCATTTAAATGTATATTTTTGTGTAATTTCTTTGGAAAGGTTATAGTTAAAGGGGAGTACATGTGATTTTCCAATATTTAATTTGTAGCCTGAGAGATATCCATAGTAATTTAAGAGGTTCATTAATTTTGGTAAACATTTCTCTGGTTGTTTTAAGTATATCAGGATGTCGTCTGCAAATAACCCAACTTCATGATCTGTATCTCTGATTTTGACTCTGATTGGTCTTCGTCTATCAATTCGGACACAAAAGGTTGAAATCGGTTAGGTATAATTGATGTGTAGATCTTATAGTTAAAGTTTAATATTGATATGGGTCTGTAGTTTTCAGAGTTCCCTGTCTTTGCCCGCCTTATGGATAACAGTAATTATAGCTTCATTCCATGAGGGGGGCAAGACGCCGGTTTTAAGCGTGTGGTTGAGTGAAGCCAATAACAATGGACTCAACTCTTTTTTGAATATCCGATACCATTCAATGGGGAAGCTGTCTGTTCCTGGGGCTTTATTTGATTTTATTTTTTTTTATTGTATTTTCCAATTCTTTTTTTGTTATTTGAGAACATAATATAGCATTTTGTGACTCGCCTATATTTGGAAGATCTAATGAATTTAGGAATATTTCAATTGTTTCATCATCTACCGATTCAGGTTGAGAGTAAAGGTTTGAGTAATAACCTTCAAATGCCTTTTCGGTCTCTTCTGGTTTATATACTAAAGTTTTTAAGGCACCAATATCCATGCTTCTTCAGTGATCAGAGGTTGCACGTTTTATTTGTTGTTGTTTTGGCATATGTTGTAACGTCCAAAAATGCAAAACTCCAGTTGTCTCTGTCTATATGCAAATGCATAAACGGAGTTTTCAAAAAAATTTGCTTTGCCCGAAGTTTTTCTATATATTTGTTTATGATATGTTGTCATGAGGATGACAGGTGCAAACCAAGACAAATATCTGCGGTTTAGCCAAGCCCCTCTGATCCAAGATAGCGCTCTATTTAAATGAATGGCTCGTGCTCAGTAGCGCATGGGACATCATGGGCACTGACATATTAGCAGAACTCGTCTATAATTGGACATCGTTCTGCGCAGTGGACGATCTCCCATGATGCGCTGCACCAAATACGCGTGTGTGGCTCTCATGCACGTGCACAACCAACACCTTGGGTCTTGTCTGGTGTGGTATATTTGGGCCTCTATCGCTCTGGTGCTCAGGGCCTGCTACTGTGCAGCCATGCTGAGTGCCTCTGTGCTGTCCTGTATGCTCTGGATGTACATGCTGTGTAGGGGGTTGTCCTCCCATGATGGGCTCTCCTCCAGCACCTCCTCATCTCGCCATTGTCTGCGACATTCGCTGAGTACGTCATCCGTTTTGGCCGTCTCCATGATGTTGTTATGGAGTTTGGATGTTTCGTCCTGGACAGTGGTTCTCACACTCACTAGTCCTCGGCCTCTTTCTTTTTGGCTTACGTACGGTCTCAGGGTGCTGGATTTGGAATGGAACCCGCCATGCATGGCGAGGAGCTTGAGTTTTAACATCTGTGGTCTGAATCTCTTCCTTTGGCCACCTGATTATTCCTGCAGGGTATCTGATCACTGGCAGGACGTAGCTGTTAATTGCAAAAACAAATGCATGCATATATATGTATACAGTGCCTTGCGAAAGTATTCGGCCCCCTTGAACCTTTCAACATTTCGCCTCATTTCAGGCTTCAAACATAAAGATATAAAATTTTAATATTTGTATATATATATGAATTTATATATATATAAATTCATATATATACACATATATGCATGCATTTGTTTGCAAATTAAATCTATTTTCAAATAAACATGACAAATAATTGAATATTTATTCATATATTTACTTATGAATATATTCATTATTTTGGTCCTCCATACTCTTTGCTTTAGGCATGTTGCTGTTTAAGATAAGAATTCCTATATTCGTCCCACAGTGGGGAAATTTCGATGTTGCAGCGCACATATAGGACAGTAGTAAGAGCACACAGGGAGCACACACAATATATACAAATAAGTATTATCTATGTTTCTTAGCTAACATAACTAGCTGTAGATGCTGAAAATGCTTCACTACCAGTCAAAAATATATATATGTAGTAGTAGTGCAGTTATATACTGTACAGTTAAATAGTGCAGGATAATAAGTAGATAAGTAAAGTGACATTGTTCAGTGGATATTCTGAAGTGCAACATTGCACATGATTTAAGAATTTACTTATTTACAGATGAATGAAATTTACAGGCTCAGCAGTTCTTATTGTACAGTCTGACAGCAGCAGGAAGGAAAGACCTACGTAACCTCTCCTTCACACAGCGAGGGTGAATTAGTATGTCACTGAAGCTGCTCTCCAGAGCAGAGAGCGTGTCCTGCAGGGGGTGACAGTCATGGTCCAGCATAGATGTTAGTTTGCTCAGGACCCTCCTGTCCCCCACCTGCTGCACCGTGTCCAAGGAACAGCCCAGGACAGAGCTGGACTTCCTGATGACCTTGTCCAGCTTCTTCCTGTCCCTCTCTGTGATACTGCTGTTCCAGCAGACCACACCGTACAAGATGGCTGATGCCACCACAGAGTCATAGAAAGTCTTCATGAGTGGCCCCTGCACTCCAAAAGACCTGAGCCTCCTCAGCAGGTAGAGTCAACTCTGGCCCTTCTTGAAGAGAGCGTCTGTGTTATGAGTCCAGTCTAGTTTGTGGTTCAGATGAACACCCAGGTACTTGTAAGAGTCTACTCTCTGAGTGGCATCTACAAACGGCCCTGCAGTCCCTTTTATGGGCATTAATGGGCGGTTACCTATGCTAATGACTCACCTGGCACGCGCGCTCAACTTAATAGGAGATGGCGTTCATCAATCTAAGAGAACAGCTATGAACAATTCAGCGGCTTGAGAACGCGTTGATGAATCCCAGGTAGGATCTTTTTATAATCTTCTTAAGAAGATCACATCATCCACATGAAAAGGGAAACAGTCAAAGGAGATGGTCAATCACTGTCTAATAACTAAACCCACTGACAAACTGCATCATCCCAAATACCTTCCTGCCATGAAACAAAGCCCTCTTAACCATTTGTTAACCATCACATTTCAGTCACTATGCTTAAACCATGTTCACACACACACACGCACACGTCTCCAAACTAACGAACGTTCAGCATAGACCAGAGAGAGACCATAAAGAGAACAGAGAGAGAAACCAGAGAGAGACCAGAAAGAGAACAGAGAGATTGACCAGAGAGACAGACCAGAGAAAGACCAGATTAAGATTATCAAATGCCCATATAAGGAATATAACAATAATATGGCTCCACTTAGTTTATGTTCGAATAGGCATCTTCTGCATTAAGGCTAACACCATGGTAATGTCAGACTCAAGGCCTGTGTACACTCACGCAGCGCTGGTTACGTTTGCGGTTGCGCTGGACCTACGCAGCCACAGTTGCTGGTACACTCGTGCGTTCCCCTGGCGGAGTTTTGAAGAGAATCTTGTAATCCCACACCCAACCACGTGATGGCGAACTCACAGGAGTTGCCTGGGAAACCATTTACGCTGCTACTGTCTCCTCTTCAGAACAAAATCAATAGTGAAGCAAGCTGTAGGTTTATGTGATAGTTCTGTGGACTCATCGTTTCAACTCATTTAACTGTGATGCTCTGAATAAAGACACAGTTATTGTTGGAAACATAGTTATTATTAGATTGTATTCAGCACAACCAGCAAAACAATAAGTGGTAAATATCTGAGACAAACATCAACTATATACAAGTGCAGGAGGACGCGATAATCTACGAGTGCAGATTCAAACAAAGACAGGAACAGTGCAAAACAAACGACTGCACAGTTTATAAGTTATATATATATTAGATATGCAACAGAACTATAGTCCACAGTCTCTGCGTATATCAGGCTCTGAGCCATGAGCCCAAACTGATTTTCTTTCGGTTACTTCGAAGCAAGAAGCAATCTGCTCCGAGGTGCCTTGTCCATGCTCCTGCAGCCGCCCCATGCTTCCCAGAAAGTAATCACACACGGACCAATCACAGTGGAGCTTCCTTGCGGCAGCGGCTGCATACTTAGACATTTTTGAGGGTGTGTGGCAGGCTACGTAAGGGCCTTGCGTTGATCCACGCGTTGCGCGAGTGACGTCACCACCGTAAGCTCCGCGCCGTACGACTATACACTAGGCTTTAGTCAGTCCACTCCTGCCTCTGTCTACAGGCCACCAAACTGCTTTCAGCAACAGTATATCTGATGTGTTTGTGTGTTTCTGGACCTCAGGCCGTAAGAGTGGTCAGCAGGGCCTGGGTGTGTCCCGTCTGCCACAGTTCTCACCACAGGAGAAGAGCTACGTCAAAGGCACCTGTGACTTCCTGGGCCTGGGACACTTCACCACACGCTACGTTACTCAGAAGAACCAGCCATCCGCTCTGGGGGATAGCTACTTCACTGACCGAGACCTGGCCGAGCTGGTGGACCCGCTGTGGCCCGACCCTGGCTCCGAGTGGCTCTACTCTGTGCCCTGGGGTTTCAGGCGCATGCTCAACTTTATCAAGGTACAGTACACTTACACATTAGTGTAGATCATCACCTCAAACAGCTACAGGACCATTTCAAATTTTAATTGACCAAATCCACACACATCCAGCTGTAGGGACTTATCGGGTCTGCAAGGATACAAGTACCCAAATTATTCCTTATGTAAAAAATATCACAACTATTTGATGGCAATCATATCACAAATCAAATTCTAAAAGTTAAATATATCTCCTTTATGTTTAAGGCTTATGAGGTTCTATTGTCTTTTCAGAAGGCTTATAAGGTTCTTCTGAAAAGACAATAGTTCAAAGAAGCTTGTTCTGCTTAATTACTGCATGTTTACACTTCCACCTTTGTCAGAGGAGACACATCAGATCAGGCCGTTCCCAAAAGCGTGAGCCAAGATGAAGTGTGCCCGTTTCCTGACTTCAATCGCCTCTCGAATCTATCTTTTGTATTTATGTGCATATGTTCCTACTATGACAATTCAGAAATAGTCACACCACCACGTGTCTCCTCTGACGAGTCGTATGTCTTCCGCCAAAACATGTGGTGATTAAGTAGAACTATCTTCTTTGCACTTGTGGACGTTGATTTATTATTATTAATTGCTCACCATAATAACTAAATAATTATTACTTCTCGACTCCACAAAAAACAGTATCTGGGGAAATTCCTTGGCATCCATGGCTTCCAGCAGCACTCTGGCCAATTACTGTCAGTTAGAACACTTTAGAACTAGTTCAGCCTGGACCTGGTACCAGGGCCGGAAGAAGCACTCCCAATCACGGTAGAGTATAGAGTAAAACAGAGTAGGGTAGACTAAAGTAGAGTTGAGTAGAGAAGGTCTGGCGGAAACATGGCGGGTGCATGGACTCTTTGGAATGAATTAAGGATGAATCAAGGAGGCGTGGTAAGAAAACAGCCTTTGGAGGTGAACTTTGGGGACATCCAAAAGAACTCAGTCTGAGCTTTCATGTTGGCGACAGGCCTTTTTGTCCTGGACCTGCAGTATGAAAAAACCTGAAAACCCTGTGTCCCTCAGACGCAGTATGGAAACCCAATGATCTACGTGACGGAGAACGGAGTTTCAGAGAAGATGATGTGCACTGATCTGTGTGACGAATGGAGGATCCACTACTACAGGGACTATGTCAACGAAATGCTCAAAGGTACAACAGCACTCCACTGATTTACAGACATACACTGAAGATTTGAGGATTTTAGATGATTTGAATAGGGTAAGTTCCAAGTGTTAAATCAAGATAAACTCCACTTGTAGTTCGTTACATTTATTTCAGTCAACCATACGCAGGTTCTACATACAACCCGCCTCTCACGGTCTGCTTAGAAAAAAAACATGTGCGCTGTACAAAGAGCGCTAGAGCCCCCTAGCTGTAGGGCATGGAAGGTGAACATTAAACCAAGAGCTAACAAACTCACTCTCTTTATAAAAATAAAAAATAAACCTTTTTTTTTTTAACACAACATGGACATGTGAACAGTATTAACAGAATCGTTTTATAACATTCAGATGGTCACCCAACAGCCCACTGTCCTTCATGAAGAGCCTTTAGCAACCTAGCTGAAGAGGCACCCTTTTTTGTTAGGCAGTCTGCAAGTTGGTCTTTGGTTTCTGACCACACCACCTGTTGAACCATTTTGTTTTGGATCAGTTCTTTTATAGAAGTAATTTCCAAGCGTAGTCTCTTTTTAGTCACAAACTTTGTAGACTTCAGTGCATCAACAAGAGAAAAGTTATCAGTAACACAGATTATTGGCACACTGTGATCTGTACAACCTGCACTCAGCTCAGAAAACAATGTACATGTAGAAAGAAAAATGGCATTGTCAACTCCCTCAGACGTTGCTAGCGTTTCACCTGCAAGTGTACTTCTGACAACTCTCTTGATCCTCTTTGACTGCCATGATATTGGAGAGAAGTGTCCATTGTCACCCATTAAAACAATAAGGTGCCCACCTTGAGTACCCCCATCTGATAGGTTAGCGAAAGAAGCATCAGTGAAAGTAACAATCTTTAAGCTCCTGTCTTTACCAAGGTGCTGGAAATTCAACTCGACTGATTTGGCTTTAAGTTTGCACACAACTCTGTTTGCTTCATAGATGGTTTGTATAGTAGCCTGCTTGAGATTTGATGCTAAGTTACTTGCATCAAACATAACATCAGGTCTGCTTTGTCTGGCAACCCACAACAGTTGCCCTATCTTAGATCTTAGAAGGTCTATCTCAGTTTCTGTGAGCAATGAGCTTGGCTCGGCAGCCCGTGAAGGAGCAAGAGGTATGGTTGTAAATGCTGAATATATGTCTCGTGTTGAATTTGGACTTTTTTGCCTAAAGTAACAAAATCAACACCCACATAAGAGAAGCTATCCTGAGCTTCACGACCTACATTGAATTTGGATCTTATTTGAGGTATGACGTTCATAGAGAAAATGTTTGTACCCGCCCAAATGAAATCATCCACATGACCTGCTGGTATACCAGTTACATTTTTTTCCTTATCTAACCAGTAGAAAACTGCAGGGTCTACTTTAGATATGACAGCTCCGGCTTCAATCATTGTGCCTTTTACTCTGTTATACCAATACAGTGAAGCGTCAGCTAAACCATACACATATTTTCTCAGTTTCCAAACTATGCCTGTACTATTGGCCTCTGGAGGCGGTTTGATGAAAATGTCTCAAGACAGTTCTAGTCCTTGTAAAAAAGCTGATTTGATGTCCATTGAATGAAGTTGCCATTGTTTCTGGCAACTCACTGCCACAAGGAGCCTCAGAGACTCCGAAGCACAGGTTGGAGAGTCCTTTTGTAGTTCCGAAACTTGTAGCTCTTCAAATCCACGTGCAACTAGCCTAGCTTTAGGAACTAATCCATTCTCCGTCTCTTTCAGAGTGCACACCCACCGAGTGGAGATGCACTTTGGTCCATTGTCTTCAACCTCTTCATACACATCATTTTGTATCCAGCTTTTTATTTCACTGATAGCTTCATCAAATGAGACATCCTTTGTGATAAAAACATCTTCACATGACTCTGTGTTTCGCGTCTGATCTTGCACTTGAAGATCATCCAATTGTGACAAATCAACAGCTTCACTGGTACCTGCCCTCTCAGCAGGCTCAAGTAGCTCCAAGTTGTACCAGTTCTTATATTTTCCTTTTGCTTTACCAGCACGTCCCAACCCTTTTGCTTTCTGCAAGGCTTCACTTTCTGTGTTTCTGAATGTTACAATTTGACCAGTCTTCACATTCACATTTCCATCGAAACCTCCTTCAGCCGCTGCATTTTCAGGAGCATTCACTGGGTCATTGTCAATGTTTTTACTATTTGTCTCTTCTATATTATCATTTATGTCATAGGTGTTGTGTTGTTCAATTTCAGAGTTAATCAGAGGTCTCCATGTCGAACAAAAACAACAGCACCGTCTTGTCCAATGACCACTCCTGGCCCTTTCCACTCTGCACAGTCCACATGTTTGTAAAACACCTTGTCTCCAAGTTCATACTTCTCATTGTTGCAACGCAGCTGTTTCTTCAGTGCTCTCCGTATTCGCTCTGAACACTCCGCTTCTGTAAATGCCTTCCGTGCATTGTGCAGAGCTGAAATGTGTTTGGCAACCCAATCGCTTCTTGTGGTGCCCTCTAATGCAGTTGCCCTCTCATTAGAACACATGGTAAGTTTGGATTCTACCAAAACACGAGCTGATGTGGACTGTAACCGTGAACACTTTGCATACAGTTCTTTGCCATAAGAGCCCAGTCCATAGCAATGTTCCAGTCGCATCCTGTGTTGGCTTTCACTTTCAGGATCATTTCAGTCAAGGTTTGGTTATGACGCTCTAACAGTCCATTACTCCAAGGGTTGTAGGCAGGTGTTGTCTTCACTTCAATATTAAAGTTTTCAGCCATATCTCTAACTTCTTCATTATTAAACTCCCCACCATTATCACTGAACAGCTTTTGTGGGGGACCATGAACACTTATCCAATCATGGATAAAATGTTTGACTATTTCAGAAGACCTCTTTGTGGTAATGACACTCCCCGCGCTAAATCGAGTGAACTGGTCAATGATATGTAGGTACCACACTCCTGGCTGAAGCTCATGCAGATCTACAGCTACAGTCTCATTATATGTTGACGCAAGTGGTAAACAGACGGCAGGTTTGGGTTTGGTCTTACAGTACTTTTGGCAGGCTTCACATTGACCAATTACTATTTGTAATAGGCTAATGCATTCTGTGTCTTTGTTGCCAGAACTGCTCAAAAGTCTCTAACTTGTCGGCAGACGCGTGCCCAAACTGTTTATGAAGTTTCTCTAAAACTTTCATCTTCTCACTTGTGTTCATTTTGTTCGTGTTTGTAAGTACTTCTTCTTCAATAGCTGTCAATATCTGATCAGCACTTGTAGGACAACTGTTCTCATTATCAACTATGTTCACACAGTAATGTCCTGAGCTTGTAAAATCCAGTTTGACAGGTTTATTGAACATCACTGCACTGTCATTTTCCATGTCCAGAACTGTCCCAGCCCGTTTCAAAGATGTTTTACTCAAAAGCAAGGGGATATTAACAGGAACAACTTCTGTCTCGATATTGCATTTTGTGTTACCAATCTTGGCCATTATCTTAACATTTTTGACAGAGTACACTACTTTTCCGTCCCCAAACTTGAAGGGCCTGTGACTCTGCATTTCTGTTGCTCTCATTGACTTGACGTTTTTCTTTCCGGACACACAAATGTAGTTGTCTAACCACTCTTGTCCACATACGGTCCTTGTGCACGCAGTGTCTATTATAGCGGAGCCAAAACATTCCGTCATGAATATTTCTGCATCTGTTGGCAATGCTTTGAAGTACAATGTAATGTTACACTCTTCAACGCCTGCTTTATCTTTAGCTTCATCTTCAGTTATATTCACACTCTCACCTTTATGTGGACAATCTCTGGCCCAATGAAACGTGCTTTGACACACTGCACACTTTGATCGGCGTCCGAACTTGTCCAACGGGTTCGTACCGGGTTGTGGAGTTCTGGGTCTGCCGCTTTGTTGCCAGGTTTTACCTTTATCCCGCCGATGCTGCTCCGTGGCAAACACAAACTCCTGACTGATTCTCTCTGATGCAGCACTCATTTTACAGCTAAATATCCTCTTCAAAGCAGACTTCATCGAGGCAAATGTAGGATCTGTGCATGCTGTTAAAGCCAGCTGCCTGTCTGTCCCATCTAAGCACGCAGTGTCCAACAGCTTAAAAGCTAAAACTGCGTCAGGTATCTCCATTTTGTGTTTGCGCATACGTGAATACCGCTGTTCAAAATCAATAATATAATCCGCCATGGACACACTTTCATGTTTAACAATGCGGTCAAAATCAATGTATGCCTCGTAAATATGGTCTTTTTCTTCTTTGAGGAACAAACTGTCAAGTTTATCCAGCAAAGTTTTCATTCCTGTGTCTTCATTTAATTCGTCCACCGGTATTTCCATTGCAGTCTCCCGTGCTCTTCCCGACAGCGACAAAGCAACAGCGAGGGCTTGTTTTTTCTTTTCCAAGTCCGTGACTCTGGCCCAAATGCCGACTTCATTTTTCCAGCTTTCGTAGAGTTTCCCCTCTTCAAACGGTGGTGGAACTCTGTAGTTACAAGCCATCCTCTGCTACCATGTTAAATCAAGATAAACTCCACTTGTAGTTCGTTACATTTATTTCAGTCAATCATACGCAAGTTCAACATACAACCCGCCTCTCACGGTCTGCTTAGAAAAAAAACATGTACAAAGAGCGCTAGAGCCCCCTAGCTGTAGGGCATGGAAGGTGAACATTAAACCAAGAGCTAACACCAAGAGATGGGAATAATAAATATAAATCAGCTATAACTCTATTTGAGAACTTTGAGTATACAGATGCTCAATGCTAGCTCAATGAAGTCCGATAGGGAATTGCTCATGGTGAGGTTTGGCTCCAACTCACACTGGCTCCTACTGACTTACATGCAAAAGTAAACGCTCTCTGTAATCCTGGTGTTTATATTGTGATAGTTTCTTTGTGAATCCAGAAGCTAGCGTCGTCAGAACAAATGCCCATTTAAGGAAACTGGCTCCAGTCACACTTGGTCGGTCCACTCCTCATACACAGTCTGTGGTTGTCTAAGTGCTTGTCTATGATGTGTTTCCCAGCGGTGAAAGATGGTGTTAATGTGCGGGGCTACACTGCCTGGTCGCTCCTGGATAACTTTGAGTGGGACGAGGGGTTTTCAGAGCGGTTTGGTTTGTTCTACGTCGACTTCAGCAGCAGAAGCAAAACGCGGTATCCTAAAGCCTCCGTCATGTACTACAAACGCATAATCAGCTCCAACGGCTTCCCAAACCAAAGAGAGGTGAGGGGGGGGGGATTGTGGGCTGAGAGAGTGTACCGCCCGCTCATCGTTCACTCACAGGATTTTTATTCAAATGTCTGGATGAATCCTCAGGTGGAGATCTGGAAGAGGAAATCCAGAGAGACGTGTTCCACAAGTAATCAGCTCCTAGCAGCAGGTTTGTTTCACTGACTGACTGAGGCTGTAGACCCAGGTTTGAAGCTGTATTTACAGGACTGAGGCTGTAGATTCAACACTGAGGCTGTAGCTCTAGGACTGAGGCTGTAGGTCCGGGAATGAAGCTGTAGATCCAGGAATGTGGCTGTAGGTCCAGGACTGAGGCTGTAGATGCAGGACTGAAGCTGTAGATCTAAAAGTGAAGCTATAGATCCAGGACTGCAGCAGTAGATCCAGGACTGAGGCATGTACTTTAGTAGAATGCTACTGAGGTGTTCTCTCACTGCTGTCTGCACTCTCCTCAGACCCCCTGATTGGTCACATGGAGCTGGTGACTGAGATTGTGGTCCCAACGGTGTGCACGCTCAGCATCCTCCTCAGCGCAGTCTTCCTCATGTTCCTGCTGCGGAGACGTTTCTGAAACAACATGACAGAAAACAGCATCATTAAATATATCCATGACAAAAGTAGGAGGAAGACAGGACATCCAACCAGTCACAGGGTTTACAGTGTTTTAGTGTATGAGAAGTAGTGAAGTAGTGTTAGGCCTAAATTAACTATAGACCTGTTTCCACCAGCTCTGCTCTACTATACTCTACTATACTCTACTATACTCATCTACTGTATACTCTATTCTACTCTGCTCTACTCTGGTGGGAGTTTTTCCACTGGCTCTTTTTAAACAGTACTAGGTCCTTCTTTAGTCTGTCTTGGCCCTGGTTCTATCTAGGCTGTGCTGGTACTAAAGTATTCTAACTGAGAGTGATTGGCCTGGGAGTGCTACAGGAATTTCCCCAGATACTGATTTGTTGTGCATAGGTTGCTAGGTAAGATACTGTAATAGAAATGCAAGAGAGAAAAGTGGGGTAGAGAAGAGTAGAGTAGGGCTGTTGGAAACAGGGCTTATGTTTATGAAGTTGCTGTTTGTATGTGATGCTAATCTAAACCAGGCTTTATGAGTGTTTGCTTGACAATAAATGTCTACAATAAAAGTAATTTATGGCTTTTGTAATTTTGTTTAAGCTCTCAGTCGTACAGGAATTCATCATCTGTACTTCAGTTAGCAGGTTTTCCCGACGTTTCGCTCTTCATACAAAGAACTTTTTCAAGGGAATGAAAGTTCAGCTGCAATTTGGAGATTTATAACTGTGGGTGGGGTTAGACATCCCCTGATTCTGGGGCTAACTCATTAACATATCAAAGGTCTGCTAAGATGTGGTGAGGAGTAGGTCTAACGACCCTGCTAGGGCTAACGATTAGCATGTCACTGACCTATTGTTTGCTGAGATTTCTCATGTGGAGTGTAGGTCTACCACTCCTAACTCATTAGCATGTCCATCCATCCATCCATCCATTTTCTACCCTTTAATCCATTTCTGGGTCAGGGGGGTGGCAGTCAGAGATGCCACCCAAGTCTCATTGCACCAGCCCCTCACTGACCCTCTGCAGGTGGTGAGTCCACAGGAGGACGGCTGCTCTCTGAATGTGAGCATAGCCTTGATCTTTCAGTGGGAGCTTTTTGGGCAAAGTGGGGTTAAGTGTCTTGCCCAAGGACACAACGACAGCAGTCATCAGTGGGAGTCGGTGGAGAAGGTGCAGAGGTGGGAATTGAACCCACAACCTTCTGGGCTTAAGGCCAATGCTCTACCAACTGAGCTACTGTCGCCCCTCATTAGCATGTCATTGACCTTATCTATTGTCTTTGGGGGGTGGCAGTCAGAGCTGCAACCAGTTCACCGAGCACCAGCCCCTCACTGATCCTCCTGCAGGTGGTGAGTCCACAGGAGCCTTGATTTTCCAGCGGGGGCTTCAGGCAAAGTGGGGTTAAGTGTCTTGACCAAGAACACAACGACAGCAGACATCAGTGGGAGTCAGTGGAGAAGGTCTCGTGGTGGGCTCGAACCCACAACCTTCATGTTCAAATATTGTCTTTTATATTTGAAATCACAAAAAACATAGTAGTCTTTTTTTTATAGCGCCTTTCACAGACCTGCATAGTCTGTGGGCGGCATGGTGGCTGATTGGATAGCACTCTCGCTTCTCTTGGGTTCGAATCCCAGTCGGAACAGGGCCTTTCTGAGTGGAGTTTGGATGTTCTCCCCATGTCTGTGTAGGTTTCCTCCGGGTGCTCCGGTTTCCCCTACCACTAAAAACATGCACAAAAGGAATGAATGGAGAGAGTGAATTGATGGTGTTGATTGGGGGCTTTGATGCGCCAGTGTGTTAGGCGTCTTGCTTCTGTCATTTTAGAGAGTTCATGACACTTTGAAGCAACTGTGGTTAAAGTTCTAACTCATCGTTCTAACAATATGCACTTTTCCACTGCATGTTTTGATTTCTGAAGGCCAAGCTACTGGCACTGTGGTGATAGCTGATTGGAAGACTCCATTCCTCCATGTTGTATATTATCACTTACATTCTGTGACATCTTTGTTCGTGCTATCTCTACCATCGACAATAAAACATGTCTTCTGTCTGAATTAAAGACACAATCCCAGACTTTGTCATCTTCTTCAGGTGGTGGAGAATGCCGGCATTGTCTAAAGAACTAACATCTACAGAACAGAAGACTTTTTTAACACAAAAATGTGTTTTTTAACACAAAATTGAAAAACCTCAAGAGAAACCTGTGCAGATGGACAATCTGCACAGCCCCTGATTCCAATCAGGCCTGCTGTAAGCTGTTGAGAAATGGACGATACCACCAATTGTATGAGCTGATTTGAAAATTGGACAACAAAAGAGAATATAAATTGACAAAACTAAAATATTAAATTCTAAAATAACCCATAAAGTGCAATTGAAAATACATATAATTACATAAAAAAATAAAACATACATTTATACATTCACTCCATACCATATTATTTACTTCACTACAGAAAAATGCATTCAATAGACTTCTTACTTATATTTCCTGTCTGCCTCTCTCCTACTGTCTTACAAGCAGGTTGGCCATTTTAAAGGAATGTGCCTCCAAACAGCGGGAAAAAGTCTCTGGTTTCACGACTAGTAAAACTACTAGCAACTTGAATTTCAACACTGTCTGCGCTCACAAACAACTTAGGTAACACTTATACATACACATACACCAAACTTTAGCATATTATCTGCTTGGAAAGGACTAGAAACACGTTATTACTACTACTTTACTTGACTCTTAACATGACGTACAAACGTTGGAAACGGGACCACAGAATACAGAATAAAAATGTGTTCCTAACAATTGCTAGACCCTCAAAACTTTTAGACTGTACAAGTTCTACACATAAAATTACACCACTTGAAACTTGTGGACAGTGGACGAGCTCCCATGATGCGTTGCGCCAAATATGCATGTGCGGCTCTCATATACGTGCTCAGAGGGGCTCGGCCGCGCTTTGACCCATCAGAGCTGCTGATCAGAGCAGAGTTAGAGCAGAGCCAGAGCGGGAAGGAAACAAGCAGTGTTTCTCACAGTACAGTGTGAATTTAAAGAAAACCGAAAGGATTTAAGAAGAAAAAAAGTTCAAGGTGACAAGGGACACTAAAATCCCCACAAAATCCAATCTTTATGAAAGCTGTAGGTTCCATGGAGACATGTTAGTCTGGCCAAAGCTCATGGATCTATAATAATAACTGGATAGGGTATTACTAGCTTATAGCTGTCCCACCCACGCACAGGGGGCGCCCGTGGAACTGCAGACTAAATTCACATGGGCTACCCAGAAAAAAGTCCCATAGAACTCAATGTAAATTTAAACAGCTTGACTTCAGCTGACAGAGGACCTACAGCTTTCAGAAAGATCGGATTTTGAGGGGATTTTAGTGTCCCTTGCCATCCTGAAATCCGTTCGGTTTTCTTTAAATCCACACTTTAATGCCACAAACTCTGCTCCTTTCCTTCCCGCTCTGACTTCGCTCTACCACGGCTTTGATCTGCAGCGCCAATTGGTCAAACCAGGGCCGAGCCCCTCTGTGAAAGCTCATGAGAGCCACACACGTGTATTTGGTGCAACGCATCATGGGAGCTCGTCCACTGCGCAGAACCGGGAGGATGCCCAAATATAGGCGAGTTCTGCTAATCTCCCGGTCCCCGTGAAGTAAGATAAGAGTTCCTTTTTTCGTCCCAGATTGGAGAAATTTTGATGTTGCAGCGCACATACAGGACAGTAGTAAGAGCACACAGGGAGCACACAAAATATACAAAATACGTAGTAGCTATGTTTCTTAACTAGCTTAACTGGCTGTAGATGCTGGAAATGCTTCAATACCAGTCAAAAAATATATACATGTAGTAGTGCAGAGTTACAGTATGTACTGTACATATAGTGCAGGATAATAAGTAGATAAGTAAAGTGACATTGTTCAGTGGAAATTCTGAAGTTGCAGTATTGCACATCGCACATGATTTAAGAATTTACTTATTTACAGATGAATGAAATTTACAGGCTCAGCAGTTCTTATTGTACAGTCTGACAGCAGCAGGAAGGAAAGACTACGGAACCTCTCCTTCACACAGCGAGGGTGAATTAGTCTGTCACTGAAACTGCTCTCCAGAGCAGAGAGAGTGTCCTGCAGGGGGTGACAGTCATGGTCCAGCATAGATGTTAGTTTGCTCAGGACCCTCCTGTCCCCCACCTGCTGCACCGTGTCCAAGGAACAGCCTAGGACTGAGTTGGACTTCCTGATGACCTTGTCCAGCTTCTTCCCGTCTCTCACTGTGATGCTGCTGTTCCAGCAGACCACACCGTACAAGATGGCTGATGCCACCACAGAGTCATAGAAAGTCTTCAGGCCCCTGCACTCCAAAAGACCTGAGCCTCCTCAGCAGGTAGAGCTGGCTCTGGCCCTTCTTGAAGAGAGCGTCTGTGTTATGAGTCCAGTCCAGTTTGTGGTTCAGATGAACACCCAGGTACTTGTAAGAGTCCACTCTCTCAATGTCCACCACCATCTCCTTGGTCTTCCCCGCGTTGTTGAGGAGGTGGTTCCGCTGACACCAGTCCACAAAGTCCTGTATAACTCCTCTGTACTCTGCGTAATCGTCCTCTGAGCTGAGTCCGATGAAGGTCGGAGAACTTCTGGAGGACACAACCGTCCGTGTTGTGTCTGAAGTCCGCAGTGTAAAGGGTGAAGAGGAACGGAGCGAGGACAGTCCCCTGGGGGCCCCCACACTGCAAGTCACGACCTCAGACACGCAGTCCCTGGTTCTCACAAACTGGGGTCTGTCTGTGAGGTAGTCCAGGATCCAGGATTTGTTTGAGAATCTCTTCCCACAAGTGAGGAGATTACCAACAAGAAATGAATGACCACTTGTCTCCTCACGTGGTCTCAAGAGTAGGGTTGCCAACCGTCCCTTAAAATATGGAAATGTCTTGTATTTTGGAAAAACTTTTGTGTGTCCCGTTTTGAATCGGGAATCAGAGTCACCTTC